TGTGACTTTTCAGCGTGAGACTGATGCACCTCCTCCGAGTGTGTTGAATTTTCAGCGTGAGATTGATGCACCTCCACCGAGTGTGTTGACTTTTCAGTGTGAGACTGATGCACCTCCACCGAGTGTGTTGAGTTTTCAGTATGAGACTGATGCACCTCCACCGAGTGTGTTGAGTTTTCAGTTTGAGACTGATGCACCTCCACCGAGTGTGTTGAGTTTTCAGTATGAGACTGATGCACCTCCACCGAGTGTGTTGAGTTTTCAGTTTGAGACTGATTGCTACGTCCGACAAGCCATGCCAATCTCACGCCACAATTCATGTTCTCACGCAGTGAAAAATGCATTGCGGAGCAAAGAGGACAGTGACAATGCACCGACAGACAACAGAACAGGTTACTTTTGATACGAAACAAAGTCTCAGCTTTCAAATTTTGTCATTTTTTAAACAAATTTAAACAATAAATACCATTTTGTGGCCCTTTAATGTGTTGTGACAGATCGTTGTAGCGCCGATCATCTACCAAAATGGCAGATTCTGTTATGATTGGTCAGATTGCTTGTCGATCAAGCTCCGTGCAAAAGGTCAATTCACCCCAGACTGAAAAATCTTTCATTTATTCACTCTCATGCCACTAAAAAAACTAAACAAATTAAAAGTCATTTATAGTATGATGGTGGATGAATTATTGAAGATTTTTATTTTTGAACTCTCCCATAAACATGGTCAGAATAATGTAATTCATACTATGTGCAAATACTGACATGATCTTACAATACTAAAACTTTTACTCTTACATTGTTCTTTTGTATTTTGTTTTGTTGTTGGGTAAAATAGGGACAAACCCAGCAATTGGGTTGTTTTGACCCAGCGGTTGGGTTAAATGTTTAACCCAACCTTCTGGGTAGTAACCCAACCGCTGGGTCAAAACAACCCAATTGCTGGGATTGTCCCTATTTTACCCAGCACTGGGTTATATTTAACCCAGCATTTTTTAGAGTGTTGGTTTAACATTGGGGCGGGTGATCAAAATGCGCTCCCTGGTAGCAACGAACAACGTTCGCTCTTATTTGCTGTTAATGTGTATATTTTAGCCAAAAGTTTAGCTTCGTACATTCAGTTTAGAAGAATTGATTGAGTGCACATTGTAGCCTATAGTTAAATAAGGTAAACATATATGCTTTGTAATTTATTGTTTTATGTCAAGTTTGTATACAGGTGACGTTTAGATGTGATAACGATAGCCTGAACCATTGTGCTGACATAAATTGCCAATAAGCCAAGACTGCCATTGATAATTGTATGATGATGATAAAGCTAACACTATAGTTAATGCTTAATGTCCTTTATGAGAGAAATTCTAAATTAACTGTTTTCTTAAATGTCAAAAACAAGTCAACGGAAGTGTGTGAGTTAGATAAAGTAGAAATAGATCTTTGAAATTACAATAGCAGGTTCCCACTTTATCCAGTGTTTTAGTATGCCACCACAGGTTTCTTACTGTCCCCCGCAGTCTGGCAACCCTATTAATAATTTCAGTAGAAGAAGGAGGATTTTGAGTGAATTTAAAATAAAGACAGACTCTAATCGATACCTGCTACACTTAGCATAATACTTTTAATAAGGGTGACGCCTATGATAACTTGCTAATTCTATAGTTTGTCCTGAACTTACTGGTTTAGGTCCCGAGTCAAAGTCAGCAGCCTGAAGAATCGGCTGTCTAAAAAGGCTTCTAGTTGAGAAACTTTGGGGACAATATTGCTATGAATCATGCACTTTATCAATATCCAACTGATAACAGCCTATGATCCCACGTGCAAGTGGCCCAATTACAAGGAGAAATAATTAGGCATACTTTTTATTCTACGTGGTGCCTACAACAGCAAAATAACCAACTCATTAAAAGACATTTACCGAGCAAATAAATAATCACAAACAATAGGATAAACACGGCAAACTATTTCCAATGTTTTTCCGACGAAATTACGTTTTAATATCTATACGAATCATATATTTCTCCCGCTATTTCGCATACAAACACACACACATGCAGATTAAACACGCTCGCTACACTTTTTCATGCGGTTTTCATATAGATTATGATTAAATTTGTTTGCTGTTTTGGGGTGGTAATAGTAAGGAGAGGGCCCAAAAATAATTTTTCCTATGTCACAATAAAAGGTACAGTAAATCCTTTTTTTGTTGTTGCATAACATAATAAAAAAAAGAAGAAGAAAAATGAGGTAAATCCGGTCCTGCCGGTCATCGTAACACGCCATGTGCCTTGAGTTTTTTTTTATTTTTTGAAACCTCATTTACATAAATACATAAACACTCAGGTTCACACCTCGATGAACCTAGACGTGCTCACACACTTGCCTTATATCGGCTCCGCTTCAGGTTAGTGTAAATACAGAGCTGATCAGGTACAATGAGGCTCTGCTAATTAGACTGAAATTTTTGTTTTATTAAGTCATTGATTTCCTTGCTGCATTAAATCTGAAATTACTGTAGACGTGTGTCCTGCTGTAATGATTTAGTGAGTTCATGTCATCTGACAGCTGATGGTTTCTGTTCCTCAGGATTGTGATGGCAGACACGGCTGTTCAGCTGACCGGAGTCAGAGATGTGGACAACAATGAGTCCAGGACACCGGTGTCCACCAGAATGTCCTTCTCATCGCTCAGACGAGGAGCGACCGTGAGCTTCCACAGCATCAACTACAGCGTGAAGATGAAGAGCGGCTTCCTGTGCAAGAGGAAGCTCACGCAGAAGAACATCCTCATCCAGCTCAAGTGAGTCTAGTGCTGTCAAATCTGATGCTGTTTGATCACAATACTCATGTTTCGTGGTTTTAAATAATAAGGCGTTTCTTAAATACCATGGTATTTTTAAGAAGCACCTTGGAGTAGCACATAAATACCATGGCTTATGAATTTCAGCACACTGATATATATCAAAGTACCGCTGAATTACAATATATGATATGATATGATGAGTATTTTTTAAGTACACTACATAGACAAAGGTATTGGGACACCCCCTTCTTTAAAACAGAAAAAGGCACTTCCAAAACTGTGGCAACAAAGATGGAAACATAATTCCTGTATTTAAAAATTGAATTTCCATCTCTGTTGCAACAGTTTTGGACGTGTCTAAAATGACTGTACCCATATGTACAAGTCACTGGTGTTTGGCGATGAGTTTTTAGCTCAAGGTCTGTATCTAAAGTCACACCAGACCAGTCAAGTTCTTCCACACCGACTCAATCAATCATTTCTTTTTGAACCTTGCCTTATACACAGAGACATCGTCATGTTAGAATAGAAAAGGCTCCGGTCCACACTGTCACTATAAAATTAGAAGCACACAATTCCCTGGAATATCATTATTGCTTTAACATTAAGATTTGTACTCATGGAAATTACTAAAGTAGTCAAATGTTCATTAGAAGGGGGTGTGCCAATACTTTTGTCCATATAGTGTATTTTACAATAACATTAAAATATGATATAGAATATGGTAATCAAAATGTACCATGGTATATATGATGTAAAGTCTATCTATTCGACATCTGCAAGATGTATTTTTTAGTGTTTGCTCGTCTGCAATACATCTCAAGTTATTTCATATCAGATGTCAAATAGACGTCTAGAAAATGCCTTTAAGATGTTTATGATTTAGAATGTATGTAAAACGATGTCTATCCGATGTTTGTTCCAAATGAAGCAATCTTTAACAGACATCTTGCAGATGTTCATGTACTATCTGGGGTGTTACCTAAAGAAAACATCAGCTGAGCTCATGAATATTATGTCATGTTACATAAGTCTATTATGTTAATGCAGCATGTGAGTGCTATATATAATCAGATGCCATTTGTTGGTTTTGTTGTATTTCACTGTGGTCAAACAAAACAAAATACTAATTTTCTTGTATTTCGATTGAGGATCATCCAATCAGCATCCCATGTGTGTTTGGTTTGATCTTGTTTTATGTGATTATATGATGATGAAGAAAATGTGGTGATGATAATTGTGAATGTTATTTTCTCTAGTGGTGTCATGAGGCCGGGACTGAACGCCCTATTAGGACCCACCGGGAGCGGGAAATCATCGTAAGAGCCGTCTGTCTGTCTGTCCATCAGTGTCTTAGTTTATTTAGGCTAAGCAGTAGGGGTGTGATGAGATCTCGTGCCATATAAAAAGATCTCTTGCAATATAAAAATGTGATGAGATTTCTCATTGTAGTTGTAACAACAACCTCTTAGCTCTTGTCTCTGTTTGCACTTTGAGTATTGAGAGAATATTGTATGGTTGCACTTATTGTTTGCACTTAATAAGACTAAGAAAAAAACTTTGTTATTTATACTGTTTTTATTTGTGTGTTCAATTTGTGTGTTGGAGGTCACACACAGTTTCAATCAGAAGCTCTAGAAGCTCATAATTCATGTACAGATCTAAGGTCTGAAGAGACTCATGTGAAATCATACAGGAGAGAAGCAGTCGGTTGAGTTTATGGCAAAACATTTTACGGTGCTTGCTATTGTTGTCTTTGACTGCATATGATGATTAATACTCAGAAAGTAGAACTGAAATGGCATTCATTAGAAGCAGGGGCCCCTGCAGAATTTCATCTGACGATGTGCACAGAGACGCAGATTTTTTTTATTTCGAATGAAAGTATCTCTAGACACGCAAAAAAAACGCTTTTAACCCAGAAAACGACAAAAACAACTGATCTCGGTTTAATAAAAACATTGTAAGCTACTAATTATTTTATTATTTTATTTCCACGGTTATTCAAACAGTGAGTAAATTACACAGAAAGCGAGTAAAGAACATTTACAATCACATTATCACTGACTATAGTCTAGTGTGAGTTTAAGCACTATCAAAAAACCTCCCGTTATAATCAATGAAGTACTTGCATCGTACATACATTTCTATGGAAGCCCGTTTCCGCCACTGAATAAAAAATTAAAAAAGGTAATTGCGACTTTTTATCTCACAATTCTGACTTTTTTTCTCAGAATTGTGAGATAAAAACTCGTAATTCTGACTTTTTGTCTCGCAATTCTGACTTTTTTTCTCGCAATTGCGTGATATAAACTCGCAATTGCGAGTTAAAGTCCAATTTTGAGGGGGGAAAAAGACTGATATGTTCTCAGAATTGCGAGTTTATATCTCACAATTCTGACTTTACAACTCGCAATTGTGAGTTTATATCACGCAATTCTGAGAAATAAAGTCATAATTGAGAGATATAAACTCGCAATTGCGAGACAAAAATTCAGAAATGTGAGTCTATATCTCTCAATTATGACTTTTTAACTCGCAATTGCGAGTTTGTATCACGCAATTCTGAGAAAAAAAGTCAGAATTG